TTACTGTAGAGGCAAGGTCTCACCAAGTTGCCCAGGTTGGTCTTGTACCCGTGGGCTCAGGCAATACACTCACCTCGGCCTCCCCAAGTGCTGGAATTACAGGCTGAGCCCAGTCGAAATTTTTTTTGGAGATGAAATCTTTCAACATGTTTCCCCATTTTATGATGGGCACTTGCCTATACCACGCTGAGTATTCAGCAGTTTTTGACCAAAAACAGCATGACCTCGATGCCCTACCCTTCTTATTCAACCAATTTCACCCTGAGAGACTTTTTGTTTGTTTGTTTCCCTTGATGAAAAAAAGTCCTGAAAGGGAAACGTTTTGTCGATGTGGAAGAGGTGAAACAAAAAACAGCATAAGCACTAAAAAAAGCATCTAAATGGATAGAGTTCAAAAACTGTTTTGAGCAGTGGAAAAAGCATCTCGGTAGGTGTACTGTATCAAACGGAGAGTACTTTGGCGATGACTGAAGTTTAGACATGTAAGAATAATTTTTTATAAATAAATTCCTTTTTTGGAGGGGCCTCCCTTGTATAAAGAAAATGAAGTATGGATAAATTAATTTATCACCTCTCAAATTTTGAATAAAAGAATAATTCAATTTCTGCCACAGATTACATAGAAGCAAAGGGTATTAAGAGAAAAATACTCCAGATTATTTAAAACAAAAATTAATCAAATTAGAAAAGGATGAGATTATTTGAAAAACACATCTGTCCTATTAGAATGGTAGTTCTCAAACCTAGCTGTTTATCACAATCAGATTTAGGTTTTTCATTGTTTCTCAAATACAGATGCCTAAGTCCTTCTCTAGGACAGTCTTTGTAAGCCAAGTTCAGGCATCTGAAAACATTTTGAAATGATTCCTTGTTATTCTGAAGCACACCTAGAAATTACAATATATGGTAAGGTTGGACTTTCCATTTATACTTAAGACCAAATTATAAGCAATCTATACAGCAGAGCCAAATCATGTGGCAACACATGTGGATAAATACAGTGAATTAAGTTTCTCATATCTAGCAGTAATTCAAGCCTAAGATTACTCTTCCTTTTACTTATGCTGTTCTCTGGGTCCCAAAAAATATTTTTTGTTTTAGTGAAAATGCTTTTTTTCTATGCTTTTGCTTGGATAACTGTTATCTATTTTTCCAGACACAATTCAAGCATCATCCCTCTGGAAAGCACTGCTGGCAACCCTGCCCCTTACCAAGGCTAAGCTAGGTGTCCTTTCTCTGAGCCTCTTTGCAGGTCGATCACTGAACCTATCACAAAATAAATTTAGATGATTTTTCTAACTGTTTTCCTAGTCTACTAGTCTCTGTGCATCTATGCTCAGCAGCAGAATCTGGGCTTTAATTTTTTTAAATCCTCAGCATGTTTCATTAAACGTTAGACATATGAATTTTGGAAGAGTCCATAGTTGGAAAAAATGCATACAATTAGTTCAAAATGCCTAGGCTCTTGCAGGCAAGAAACAATCTGACAACTGACACTCTAGTTAGCAGCAAGTAAATATAAGCAAAAGTGCTTTTCTACTATGGTTTCAAAGCAATCTTCTGACCAATACGTTTTTTCTTATACTGGCTAAGCCTAGACCAGCATGCATTCTTCCAAGCTTTACTGTACCCAGTACACTTTATCATAAACAAGTAAAATTCAAAATTCGTAAAACTGAGATCTATTCTTTCCACAGTTCTCTTGTAAAGTTAATATATATGAACAAACTGCACACTTAGAAGTGGATGACAAAGGCAGAGATGAAAAAGAAAAAGAAAGCCAACTAACAAAAATCTCACAAAAAACTGGATTAATACATGAACCTGACATTACCAGACCGTGCTATGCCACTGTCTCTGTCCTCATTCAGCTCTCTTCCAGGCATGTCCATGGGGTTGCTGTGAACTGTGAGGTAAGACAAAACTGTCAGTTATAAAATACAGTTATTCAGGTGAATGTTGTTCCCTTTAAATATCAAACTAAATCATGCTCATCTCATTGCATTCCCTTAATTTTTCAATAGCATGGCACCAACCCAACACCAAGAGCTATTACTCAGTTGAACAAGCTTTGAGAGCTATCTGAAGATTTTACATACAGTATGAAAATAATCTACAACATAACATCTAAGGAAGCAAGGGATGACTAAAAGTCATATTTTAGAAAAATATTCGTAAGATACTATTAAATGAAAAAAAGCAAGCTACTAACAGTATGAATGACGACTGCTGGGGCTAAGTGATGGGTATATCACAGCTCTCGTTACTGATTCTGCCTCTATCAACATAAGTTTCAAAATTCTCCATAATAAAAAGTTTGAGAAATTTGTTTGAACAGTATGATCTTAATTTTGTTTATAAAACAAAAAAGCATGTAACTTTGGCTGAAAAGATGGTTAATGTATATTTTTTGCCTAATTTTTATATTTTTCTAAATTTTCTATAATTATGTGCTATTAATATCTAATGTTTACAGGGAAAGTAAATATTAATTAAAACAAGAAGGGCTAAATTGATATCAAGCTGAGAACAGTGACAAGTGATAATTTCCACTAGAAGGCTGCAATGTCAGGTAACCTGCTGAAATGTGTAAAAACATGGAATATGATAAGAGTCCTGGATATACAAGCAAACATATACTCTACAATCATCAATTTAATACACAAACAAATATACTTATATATGCCTTTTTAGAACATTATAATGGTGCTTGTTCATCTAAATTTTAGCTCTAAGAAAAACTGTTCTTATGGAATAATGTAGATCAGAAATCTTACAATATTAACAAGATAGGATAATTTTCTGCAATTGGTAAACTATGGTACAAAAGCTATTTGGCCATGGAAACAAGACAGTGTCACATTAAAAATTCTAAGCGGTATCATAATGTGCATACTAAATTTTGGCTTAGGATTCTAAAGTTAAAATCATTATGACATATTGAGAGAAATGAGAAACTGGAATTTCATGAAAATGTGAACAATTCTACTGATAACTTAGTTTCTGGAAATTTTAAGAATATATGCAGTAGAGATGAATTAAACCCCAGTTACTGGGACTATAGGCACGTGCCACCACACCTGACTAATTTTTGTAATTTGTATAGCAAGACAAGGTCTTACTATGGTTGCCCAGGCTGGTCTTGAACTCCTGGGCTCAAACAATTCTCCAGCCTTGGCCTCCCAAACTGCTGGGATTACACGCATGAGCCACCAAGCCTGGCCAGGAGTTAAGTCCTTATATTTCCTAAGCAGTGTTTTCTTAACTGCAACCTCCTCAACTGCATTCATGCACTCTCTTGTTTCCACAGCTTAACTACAAGAGTCTAGCCGCTGGGGCACACCAACTAGTCTACCCACACAGCACATCGCAAACCTGCAAAGAAAGAGGCGCTCCTGATCAGGCGGAGCGGACCCTGCTCAGAGAATGCCCGCCTGGGGCTGCAGAACTGTGAAAGACCTACATGGCAAAAACGTAAAATACACATGAAAGAGGACTGTTAGAGAAGCCACAATGTGTCAGGGGAAAAAAAGTGAGCTAAGGCAGCACAAGAGTAGACCAACAGATATGGATGAAAACTTTTAAACTAAATAAGAATAATTCAAGCTGGCATCCCTTTCTTGAAACAGAATGGTCTTCCTTTGGGTTGCAGTTTATATCAAACAAAAATTTCATGCCTATTTACTGATAAATTCATATATAATAATAGAAATAAGGTTCTATTATACAAGGAAAAAATACTTTAAATGTTCTATCTTTTCTAATCTAAAACAATATTCTTAAATATTCAAAAAAAGCACAGTAGTGATATTTATATAATTTGGTAACTGCCCAATAAATTTCTTTTAAAAGGTCAGTTTTATGATTACAGCAATCTCCTACAACTGCAGTAAGGAGAAAACTACATAAGCATTTGGCACATAGCATACAACAAGGAGCAAAAACAGAAAAGAGATCTTATTGACAAATTAAAAATTGTTTTTTTTAACTAGTGATAAGTTACCAAGTAATGGAAGAAACCAAGTTTCCTAGACCAGGAGTCAGTCACTATAGAAGAAGGAATACCAATGCAGGCAACAGGACCACACTCCCAGCTGTCTAAGACAAGTGCCTGCTGTACACTTAACCAAAAGGTAACAGCAGTCTGAAGACCCCAAAAGGAAGCAGCTGGGTTACCTGTTAGTAATGTTTAATCAAGGAAGACTAAGTAGCCATGTAAGAGGTACCTAGGACAGAACGGGGGGCTTTCTGCTTTAAAAAGTGACAACTGCATTTTTCAAATTGCTAACAGATATTATTTTTCTGTAACAAGAATTTCTGTAATTATTGAGCATGTGTAGCAATCCTTCCATGTCTCAGTGGTCTGCTCTTTCTTCAATTCTACCTGGCTTTATTTCCCTAATTTCTTCAAAAATAATCTACTTCTTTAATATCCTTCCTTATCCACCTCTTCCTTACTCTCAGCATAAGTTTCTTACAGAATGCACATATACATGAATAACTGTGCATACACACAGAAGAATCAACCAGATAGGGGTTCTCTTTGTTCCTTCAACCCTACCTCCAAATGTAATCAAATTCTCACCCATTCTTGACTCCTCCTTTCCTAAACAGTAATGTTGTTCAAGCCTTACAATGCACTAGAGACTTATTCAGTAAAAAAAAAAAAAAAATCCTGAGAGATACCCTCTCTTCCAAAGTTAAGGCTAAGTCAGCTAGAACCCCAATGCCTCCTTCTCTTTCAAAAACCTGTATCTACCCATTAACACCTCTATCATTAGCTTCATCCTCATTATTCCCCTTTTCCATCAACATTTAAAAACAGTCAAGTCTCTTCCACCTTGTCTCCATATCTCTACTCTTACAGGTCAGTAGTTCTCAAAATGTGGTCCAAGGACCCCTGGGGGTCCCTGAGACTCTTTCAAAGAGATGGTCTGTGAGGTCCTCCATTTTCCAACTACATACCTGTGAGAGATAGAATTCTCTTAACACACTTCAAGCAAAAGAACATATCATAAAAGACTGAGTACAGAAGCAAATATGAGAATCCAGCTGTATTCTACTAAGCAAGATATTGAGACTTGCAAAAATGTAAAACAACGCTACTCTTTAAGTTATTTATATTAACATAAAAGGGGCTATTGGTGCTATTTTTAGTGAATTACTAAATAAATATTTTTAAATTTTCACTGTAATTTCTAACATACAAGGGGGAACCATCCAAAAAACAGAATTATTTTTGGAGGCCCTTTGTAGTACAGGCTTTTCCCACTAGGTTAGTATTCTAGGAACCCATCTGCATGAGTATACTAGCTAGCGTTGTTGTGAGAGGCTGCATTCAGCTTTGGTTAAATTTTTGGAGATTCTTTGAATGTGCCTGCCCATTTCACAATGGGTGATTTACAAGCACATGCCCATATCACACTGAGTGTTCAACAGTTTTTGTTAGCAAAAATGGGACGACTCCTGTGCCCAACCTACCCTATCCTGATCTCACTCCAAGTGACTTTTTTTGTTTCACAGGATGAAAAAAGTTCTCAAAGGAAAATGTTTTGCCATTGTGGAAGAGGTGAACAAAAAATGGCAGAAGCACTAAAAAGCATCAAAATGGACATGTTCAAAAACTGAGTAGTGAAAAAAGTGTCTTAATAGGTATATTGCATCAGAGAGTACTTTAAAGGTAACTGAAATATAAACATTTAAGAATAAATACATAATTTTTTATAAATAAATTGTGGGTTTTTAGGGATCTGCCTTTGTAGTGTATATCAAAAAATGTAATCCACATAAATTGCTTTTAACAATTTCTAAGTGGGTAAAGGGGTGCTGAGACCAAAAGGTTTGAGAACCACTACTTGCATCTTGGACAAAAGACCAACCTCTAGATCTCTTTTCAAATCTGGTTTCTATTCTTCTCAACGAAACTGCTCATCTGGGCCACCAAAAGCCTTTCTGTTGCTTAATGTAGTCCACATTATCTTATATTACCTTATTGCAATTTTTGACGCTGACAATTATTACACTGTAAACATTTTTTCCCTCAGCTTCCATGATAACACACTATATTTTTTACCCTTCAGTCTCAGCTTGTGGACTTATCTTCCCTTACCCCTTCTTTTTTTTTTTTTTTTTTTTGAGTTGGAGTCTCACTCTGTCGCCCAGACTGGAGTGCAGTGGCTGCTCCCAGCCACAGCCTCAACCTGCTGGGCTCCGGCGATCCTTCCACCTCAGCCTTCCACCTCAGCCTTCCGAGTAGCTGGAATTACAGGCATGCGCTACCACACCCGGCTGATTTTTTGATTTATTGTAGAGATGAGGTCTCCCTGCCCAGGCAGGTCTCGAACCCGCGGGCTCAGGCAATCCACTCATCTCAGCCTCCCAAAGGTGCAGGATTACAGGCTGAGCCACCGAGCCCGGCTCCCTTACCCCTTCTTAAAGCCAACATTCCCAACTTTTAGGTTCCATCTTTAACAATTTTTCCTCCTTATTCTTTACATCTCATCCATTTCTACCCTAAATTATAATTTATAGCTGACAATTCTCAGATCCATGGCAGACACAGATAACTGTCCAATAAATAATTGTGTTTCCCTTTCCATAATATGAAATAGTTTCTGGGAAGCAGTTGCCCAGCTAGGGACTATAATTTTCAAATCTCCTTATACGTATGTGCGGCTATATGATTAGCCAATGGAATATGAAAAAAAAAGTGATGTGTCACTTTCAGTTTGAGATGGTTATGAAGTGGACATGCCTTCTTTCATACTCAATCCCTTTCCATTGGCTTGATGCAGATAAAAGCACAACCTTAGAGCCTATATGTCAAAGGTGGTAGAACCAGAAAGAAAGAGATAAGACTTCTAAAACATTGCTTAGAAAAAAAACTATTTGCCAATGAGGAACAACCTCTTGGATTTTACACAAAGGAGACAAAACTTCTATTGCTTTAAAATTATTAAACGTTCATAAATTTTTATGTTAAAACAGCTACCATTACAATATGCCTATCTAACTAGCTAACTACAATGGATATCTTTACTTTGGATATCCTAATACCTCTAATTCAACATGCCTAAACCTAAAATAACCATCAATTTATTCTATTCCTTTTAGTGAATGCCACCATATCGTGCATTACACAAACAGCAAAGTATCAAACTTGATTTATCTTTTTCCCTCACGTCTTCTATCTAATTAGCTAATCCTGTCCACTCTATCTTCCTTAATAAATCTCTCAACTACTATCTATCCCCACTGACACGATCTTACTCTAGGTTGCTATTATCTGTCACTTGGATTACCATGAGCATCCTTCTAATATGAGACTTTTCTCAATCCCACTTGCTTACTTGAATCCATTCTCACAGCAGTTAGAATATTCTTTTGTACATACAAATATAATCTGACCGTACTGTTATATTCTGAAAAGCCCTTTGTGGCGGTCTTGAGAATGAACCTTGAAGATTTCCACTATAAAGAGTATAACTGACCCAGAACCCCAGCTGCTGTACTCTGAAATCCTTTGCCACATTTGTGCAAAGCCACATAGCCAACAGGTTGCTCCCAGTCAACGGTTGAACACAGCAGGGTATACTAAGACATGCCCATTTGGAGGAGACATGGGAAACTTCTAACAATCAACTTTGACTCAAGGAATTCCCAACGGCCTTGCCAAACCTTCCTTGAAGAGCAGGCTGAGACACTCTCAGTCAACCTTCTATCTTTCTCTTTCACTTAGGGTCAGACTTAATTTCAATCTGATGGGTCTCTCAACCCTTCCCAGCTCACTCTCTTCTCAGTTTCTTTCATACAGTCACTTCCCCTAATAAAATCCTTGCATGTTTAATCCTGTCTTGGCAGAGGATTCAAACTAACATAGCTTCACTAGTATCCAATACATAAAGGGTTAAGTCCAAATTCCTCAGAGTGGCCCACAGTGCCCTTTGTGATCTGCCTTTTATTCAACTCTTTATTTTCATTTCCTTTACTCCTAACTCTGTGCTCCATACATACTGATTTATTCACATTCTTTCTATAGTCTATGATCTTTTGTCCCTAGTTCTGTGTCTATACTACTACTTCTTCCTAGAACATTTCTTACCCCAACCATCTGGCCTCCTGTCCTCAAGGAAGCCTTCCTTGACTCTCTAGGACTAAATCAGTGATTCTCATTTTTATCACTCTGCTCTTAACCTTGTTCAAGAATTCACTGTAGTATACTATAATTGTATTACTTTTCTGAATCCCACTAACTACAAATCCACTGAAACAGAACTGTGTCTGATTCACCACTGTATCCTCAGGGTATAGCAGAGTGCTTGGGGTATTACAGGTATGCGACAAATACTTATTGATTGTAAATTCAAACAAAATAACAAATGGTTCTCAAACACCCTTAACTCACAATTAAGAGTCTGTAAGTTAAAGGTGTTCATTATTTAAAGTATGCAGTTTGCTAAATGAATTAATTTTGCATTCTATGTTAAAACAGAGAAGATGTGTACCTCTAACCTCTAAAGTATAATTTACCTTTATAATAATGGATTTTTACTAATACAATGAGTTGCTTTTACTAATAAGCCCTTTGAGTTCTGAAGTGTCAAATTATAAAGAAAAAGGACTCTGTAATTTCTTTGTCACATGTTTACTTTATTAAAATCAATGAATTAAGAAAAAGCAGAACTTCTATTTTTCTATAAAACACACACACATTATAAAGTACATGCTTAACACTGACTAAACCTACAGTAGTAGGCATTTAATAAATGATTATTCATTTGAATAAACAAAAGTTATAAAAAATAATTAATAGAATGCTTTATTGCTCATGTTGGGGGGAAAAACTATGTTTTCTACTAATACATGTAACTCATATTTGTTAAAATTAATTATAAATAAATGTTTGTACAAAACAGAAAGTCAGAGAAATAGTCATCCTATTCTAGTTCCTGCCCACTCCCTGGGTCACTAAAGCTCTGGAAATACTGCAGTACAGCAGCAATTTAATATAAGCTATGACAAATAACGAGAAATTTTTGAAACAGTTTGTCACCTTTAAATGTTGAAATTAAATAACAACAATCAGCTAACCAAATTACTAAATAAGCTGTTTTCTAAGAAATTATTTAAGGAACATCAAATTCGAACATCTGCTCACCTCAATTTCAGGTCACAAAAATGAACACCATTTTAAAATGACTTTTATGGTTAGGAAGAGAGAAGAAAGCAGGTATAATATCAGTCTTCCTCAGCTGAAATAGTCGAAAGAACTAGCAAGGGTTTTTCATTTCAATAACAGCACCTTTCAAAGATGCATCAAATTTTTTTTTTAAAGTGAAGATAAGTCAGATAAATCTTCAGCAGCTCTTTTTCAGATATAAAATATTATACTCAAAAATTTGAAAAATATGTTTTCTAAACAAAACAAATGTTATATATACTTGCAATTAAATGTCTTTTCCACTTATAGTATTTGAAATTCTGGTATTATAATAGACCTGATTAAAGAATAACTTCAAACTCTTGCTATACTGTGAACATTTTTTAAATTTATAGAATCAAAGGAACCATTTACCTATATTTCCAAGTAATCCATTAATAACTGTGTTATTATCAGTCTTTAATGTATTGCTGTCCTGATTGATGAATTCAAGACTATCTTGTAGCCTACAGAAGGGGAGGAAAAACTAATTAATTTCAACTTCGTTTTATAATTTAATGATAATTCTTTGTACATCCCAATTAGTATAAAACAGTTTCTTCCGATCAGCATTATAAACTAACTGAAATAATAATTTAAATCAGGGATTGGAAAATTACAGCCTGAGTGCCAAATCTAGTATGCTGCCTCTTTTTGCAAATAAAGTTTTAATGGAAACACAATGTCCATTCATTTATATACTGTGTATGGCTTCTCTGATGCTGCAATGGCAGAGCTGAGAAACAACATACTGTTTTGCTCACAAAGTCAAAACTATTTATTATCTGGCCCTTTAAAGAAAGTTGCTAGAGGCAAGGCACGGTGGCTCAAGCCTGTAATTCCAGCACTTTGGGAGGCTGAGGCGAGACGATTGCCTGAGTCCAGGGGTTTGAGACCAGCCTGGGCAACTTGGTGAGACCATGTCTCTACAGTAAATCAAAAAATTAGCCGGTGTGGTGGTGTATGCCTGTAGTTCCAGCTACTTGGAAGGCTAAGGCGAAAGGCTCACCCGAGCCCAGCAGGTTGAGGCTGCAGTGGCCATTATAGTGCCACTGTACTCCAGCTTGGGTGACAGATTGAGACTCCAACTCAAAAAAAAAAAAAAAAGTTGCTGACTCTGATTTAAATTACAAACAAGGTTTCTCCCCATATTTCAGAGCTGAAAATATTTCCTAATCATCTGGCAGGTGGAGGTGGAAGATGAAGAGGAGAAGACAGAGGAGGAAGAAACGAATAATCACCAAGTATCTAAAAACTATCTATATTCCATACCTTACAAATGGCCTATAGTCCTTCTCATAGCAAGTCTTTCAGGATGGCAAAAATAAAATTACTTTTAGCATAAAGTATCCTCTATAGAAATAGTAGGAATTATTAGCTAGAACTTGGAAAGGATGAAGAAACTAAGGTAATTTTGGCTAAAACCAATGATTCCAACATGGGATCTCTAATTTCTACTTTAATATTAAACTTTTAAAATTAGTATTTTTGGGCATCAAGATTTTTTTAAAGCATACATAATATTTTAAAGAATACCTTCCTTCCTAAAAGAAAAGTAAAAAAGAGCTAGAGGTATTAGAAACTTAACTAATAAATCTCCTTTGAGCAGAAGTCTTTTTAACGCATAAACAACTTATGAAAACCCAAGAGAATTTCTATAGTCTTGAGTAGAATCCTTGCTAACTCTTGCTGCTTTTGCCCTTTGGTTATCTCCAGGGACTTGGCTAGCTAGTGAGCCCCGTTTTAATATGGCACCTGTAAATTCTATGTCTAGGGTTTACTATCACAAAATCTATGTCTTTTGTCTACCTGCAAAATCAGTGTCTAGGTGTCTAGGGTCTACTACTAACCCTAGACTCAATACTTCATTTGCTAGGTTCTGGTCCATGGCCCATGATCCTGACATTATGCCTGCCTTGTTTTTGCTTTATTATTCTAATTTTGGCATAATAGCTTGCAATATCCCTGTGGTTACTACTATGTGTTTCACAAATTTTGTGTAATACCCATATAGCTGACCTAGGCCACTGATGCCTGCAGGGTTAATTCTGTAGGGGATCTGACTGAAGAGTACAACCCCACAGATACTAACTCAGCATGGCACTGCAAAACAGAAAATCTGCATGTCAACCTAAGATGGAAATGCATTCAATATTCTACTTATAGAAATAGCTTCTAGCAAATTAAAGAAACAGAAACCACAACTTTTCTTTTCTTTCTTTCTTTTTTCTTTTCTTTTTTTTTTTTTTTTGAGTCAGTCTCACTCAGTCACCCAGGTTGAAGTGCAACAGCATGCTCACAGCTACTGCAGCCTCAACCCTGCAGGGCTCGGGCAGTCATTCCACCTTAGCCTTCCAAGTAGCTGAGACTTCAAGCGTACACCACCACTCCTGGCTAATTTTTTAATTTATCGTAGAGACAAGGTCTTGCTTAGTTGCCCAGGTTGGTCTTCAATCCCTGGGGTCAGGCAATCCTCTTGCCTCCACCTCCCAAAGTCTTGGGATTATAGGTGTGAGCCACCGTGCCCGGCTACTTTTCAATTAATCTCAACTAAGAATGAAATCCAGCCTCCATGAACTTTCATACTTAAGAGAAGGTAGAAAATCTGAACTTGTGCAATCCTTAAAGTGGTTTGTTCACTTGTGTACTCGACACATCTAGAATAACCCATATCCTCCTGCACTTACTTAACCCACAAGCACTTACGTATTGAGACTTCCACAGATACTGCTGCCGGTTCGTGCTGTAAATACTTTGCTGAGCATTAACTGTGGAGGGGAACTATGAAGAAAAGAGAAGGTCAGAGAGAGATCAAAACTAAAACATAACAACCTGTTTGACTTATTATGAATAAACATTTGTAAGTCACAGAGATTTCACAGCACAGTTACAAGAGCCATGAAGTAGCATTAAAACCATAAAACATCATAAATGGAGTATCTGACAAGCTCAATCTAAGTGAAAATTATACACATCTCTCTCTGCAACAAAAACAAAAAAACATTATCTAAAAATGGATTCTTTAAAAAAAAGCAAAAAGTCAGAGAAGCCCTCACCGAATCTGATGAATTTTTAAAGTAGATCCTTTGTAGCTCATTGCTACTGAGCCAAACATCATCTCTCCAAGCATATTGGCATCAGAAGAGCACCGAGAACCCTAAACAATAAACATACATTAATAAAATTACAGAAATTAAAACCTTGTTACAATCTCAGATAGTGATTTTTATTAAAAATTCCTTTTCTATAGTTATTCTACATAAAGGGTTTTAATACTACATTGTATACACTGTTCTGAATTTTTTTTCATTTTACAATGTCTTGTGGATTTAAGCATATTGCTACACATAAATTTAACTAATTCATTTTAAGAGCTGCATAGTATTTTTCTGTTTGAAAATATCAGTTTTTTTAGACCAGTTTCCTTTACTCATGGGCATTTAGGTTACTTCTAGGTTTTTGCTATGACCAATATTAAGCAAATGGATATTTTTAACCATATCTTATATTTATGCAACATTTTTCCAGAATAGATAATAAGTGGAATACATTGAATATACATAATAATTTTTACTACTCCTATTGTGCAAAAGAAGCATCCACAAATGGAGCAATTTATATCTAATTTGCATTTTTTTAAAAAAGGCACATTTGTGATCCACAAATTCAATACAATCCCCATCAAAATTATAATGGTTTTTTTTTTTTTTTTTACAAAAATGGAAAAACATTATAAAATTCACATAAAACCACAAAAATCACAATGAGCCAAATCACCTTAGAGATAAAACACAGCTGGAGGCATTACACTTCCTGATTTCAAAATATATTATGAAGCTACAATAAGCAAAACAGCATGATACTGGCATTAAGACAGACATATGGATCAATGGAACAGAACCAAGATCCCAGAAATAAATCTCCATATACACAACTATCTGATTTTCAAGAATGGTGCTAAGAATACATAATGGGGATAGAATAGTGTCGTCAACAAATGCTGTTAGGAAAACTGGATATCCCCATATAAAAGAATAAATTGGACCTTCACACAATAAACACAGTTTTTAAAAATCAACTCAAAATGGATTAAAGGCTTAAATGTTCAGAGGCGAAACTGTACAACTAGAAGAAAACAGCAGAAAAGCCTGATGACACTGGTCTTTGCAATAATCTCATAGATGTGACACCAAAAGCAACAGCAGACAAATGAGATGACATCACATTAAAATGTTTCTGAACAGCAAAGAAAACGATCAAGAGGGTGAAAAGGCAACTTACACAATGGAAGAAAATATATTAAAACTATCTGGGAAGTGGTTAATCTTCAAAATATACAAGAAACTCTTACAACCCTATAGTTGTAAGTTGATGCAATTAAGAACTTGAAGAAGCTGGGCTCAGTGGCTCAGCCTGTAATCCCGTGCCTTTGGGAGGCTGAGGTGAGTGAATTGCCTGAGCCCGCGGGTTCGAGACCCACCTGGGCAACTTGGTGAGACCTCATCTCTACAATAAATCAAAATAAGCCGGGCATGGTAGCGGGCACCTGTAGTTCTAGCTACTTGGAAGGCTGAGGCGGACGGATCGCCAGAGTCCAGCAGGTCGAGGCTGCAGTGGCCGGGAGTGGCCATTGCACTCCAGTCTGGGTGACAGAGTGAGACTCCAACTCAAAAAAAAAAGGAACTTGAAGAGACCATTTGTCCAAAGAAGACGCAAATGGCCAACAGATACAGAGAGAGAGAAATTGCTCAGTGTTACTAATCATCAAAGAATGCAAATCAAAACCATGAGATATCAATTCACACCTGTAAGGCTGGCTATTATAAAAATAACAAAAGACAAGTGTTGGTGAAGATGTGGAAAAACCCTTGTACACTTTGGTGGGAATGCAAAATGATGTAGTAAGAATGAAAAACAATATGGCAATTCCTCCAAAAACTAAAAATAAAACTATCAAATGATCAGCAACCCTACTTCTGGGCATTTAATCCAAAAGAATTAAAATCAGGATGTAAAAGATATATTAGTAGTATTATTCATTGTTCAAATGCAGTACTATTCACAATAGCCAAGAAGTGGAAACAACCCAAAAATGTTCATTGACAGATGAATGGATAAACAAAACGTGGTACTATGTATGTTCAATGGAACACCACATAAACTTAAAAAAGAATATTCTACAACATGCAACAACATATATGAATCATAAGGACATTAGGTTGAATGAAATAAGTCACAAAAAGACAAATACTGCATAGCCCACTATATGAGGTATCAAAAATAGTCAAATTCATAGACTCAAAGAGTACAATGGTGGTTAGCAGGTGTGGTGGAGAGGAGGAAATGAGAAGCTACAAATCAATGGCATTAAATTTCAGTCAAGCTATGTGAATGAATAAGCTCTAAAGATCGGCTGTATAACATTGAACCTGTTGTCAACAATAAGGCATTGCACACTTAAAAATTTAAGGGGTAGATCTCGCATTGTATCCTTATCACAATTTTTTTTTAAAGACTCACTTAAACATTAGAATGTCTTATTTTCAAAGAACCTCCTGATGAGTAAGTTATTCCTTCTCATTATTCTTTGTCTTCACAGGATCAGACAACAGTTAAATATTAAGGTTATCCATCTGGCTACTATTTAGATACCATGGCAAATATCACTATTAACCTACCAAATATCTATTCTCCCCTCCCTCCTTCTCTCCCTCATTCATTCATTCATTTATTTGAGTCGGAGTCTCACTCTGTCGCCTACGCTGGAGTGCAGTAGCATTCTCATGGTTATCACAGCCTTAACCTGCTGGGCTCAGGCAATCCTTCCGCCTCAGTCTTCCAAGTAGCTGGAACTACAGGCATGCACCACCACACCCAGCTAATTTTTTTCCCTTTTCTTGTAGGGAGGAGGTCTCATCAAGTTGCCCAGGCTCGTCTCCACCCCCTAGGCCCAGGCAGCCCTCTCACCCCCAACTCTCAAAGTGCTGGGATTAAAGTGCTGGGCAATGCCATGCCCAGGCTACTTTTTCCTTATTTTCTGAAATTCATTTTGTTTCAGGGACCAATCTGTCCAACTGAAAAAGTTTCATTTCACAGTCTCATTTGAAGATAGGAGATTTGGAGCCATTTCTATACTTAAAAGGTTAGACTAAAGGTTGGAGTAGCAATTTTCAGACCTATTCATTTATATGTATTTGACATATGCCTGGTCAATGAGCTGGAAATGGAAGTTACTAGAGATGGAGATGCCATATTATGACCAAGGTAACAGTATACATTAACTCTAAGTAGAAAGATAAGGGAACTTTGGTCTTTGAAGACATCCTGAAACCCACATATCATGCCTAGATAGCATACTTTCAGACTTACTGTGTAAGGAAAACAATCCTAATTTATTTAAGCCACTGTTTTAGAACGTGTCCCAGTGCAATTCTTAACAGATGCAATTATATAATAATATAATTATATAACAAATATAATGATATTTGAGGAAGATGACCTACATAACCATCTCAGATAGTAAATAAGGATTATTCACAGATTTCATTAATCCACTCCATAATGGAAAATCAAGAATTAGTAGTTTCTAAAATACTGAGAAAATACTAATAACCATGAAGTGACGAGTATCCTCATTTCACAACTGGAGACCAGGAAATACATCTGTACATTATTTTTCTTTTCATAATGTAATTCTTTCACTTTTTATCTGTTTATATTCCATCCTACATTGTCCTATTACTTTGTTTTTTTAAAAAGCGATCCATACATTTAGATATCTTCACCTTTCTTAACAAAGATACCTCAAGTAGCAACAATAAACTATTTTAGTTTTATATATGTTCATTTATGTAATTTTTTTCTTTCTCAGAGCTGTACTCTTAATTTTGTACCTTTATTAAAAGTTAACTTTTCAGAAAAAGTCATCTCTGTTTATACTTGAGTTACTAATAGGAAGCAATTCATTTATTCTAGGGATTTGGTTAAGATCAAATTTCTATTCAAGGCATAGAGGTCTGGGTACTGAGAACAGCATTTCAGAAACAGAATATAGTAATTTTTAAAATAATGGAGTCCTACTTTAAAAAAAAAATCAATGCCAATCTTAGTTGACAACCTAAACTACTTCTGGTTAATGACAGAGATAAAAGCCTTCCCTTATAAGTTCATTTTTGCTATAATGTATCTAACTCCATTATTACTTTGACTAAAATTATTATTTCTTATATTAAGCAAGCTATATAAATTTAAATATCAAAGCATTTATATATTTTACTACTACACAAAGAAAATAATCCCCAGAAAACAAAGTACAGTAAAAATAAATTGCTGCTTAAATTTTATGAGACCATATAATTTGCTATGAAAGTTCTCTTTGCCTGCTCTAACATATACCACATAGTTATGATGAATGTCACTGGTATGTTGTGTAATTTTTTGTTGGTTTGTTTTTTGTTGTTTTGTTTTTTTTATTTTTGAGGTAGAGTCTCACTCTGTCACCCAGACTGGAGTGCAGTGGCCACTCCTGGCCACCGTAGCCTCGACCTGCTGGACTCCGGCGATCCTTCCGCCCCAGCCTTCCAAGTAGCTGGAATTACAGGCGTGCGCTACCACGCCTGGCTAATTTTTTTATTTATTGTAGAGATGAGGTCTCGCCAAGTTGCCCAGGCAGGTCTCGAACCTGCGGGCTCAGGAAATCCACTCACCTCGGCCTCCCAAAGCACGGGATTACAGGCTGAGCCACCGAGTCCGGATGTTTTGTATCTTAAATGTGACATAATCTACAATGAAGCTTATAATTAAGAAAATACTACTAGCATGCTGTCTCTTTAAAAGTCCCTTATTTAAAAGGTCTATTATTTTTAAATACTGGTTGCTGTAAGCTACTTATCTGCTATAGCTTGTATAACTCAAGGACAATGTTCTAATACCTGAAATCACATTTTATCAAGTGTAGTGAACTATGCTACACTAATTCAGTGCTTTTCTGCTAAAAAAAGAAACCTCTAGGGATTCTGATGCAAAAGGGGATTATAATCACTCAGTTTCTACAATATGAATTAGTTTGCCACTATTTATTTTTAATAGCATAATACAAGAAAAGCACAATTAGTTTACAGAAGTTCCTATGTAATTACTGATTTGCTGACTCTGTATTTTAAGAGTCACATTACTTTTGAAAAATAAAACTGCATTTATTTATTGTATAGACTTCCAATCATACTTTAATTTTGTACTACAACTGAACTGAACAAATATTTTATATTTATATTCATACTTCAATAAAGAAAAGTATGTAAGGTAATAAATTATTCTCCTAGTCCAATAAATCTGAATTGGAAAATATAAGGAGAAAATACTCCTGCTACCTATGTCTGTAACTCTTTGTACTTTCTTTATCCTAAGATTTGTCAAAGTTTATAAACTTGCTTGTTTAATTACCTGTCTCTCCAGCTTCAATGTAAGTTCTAGTAAGATGAGGACTAATCACTAACATATCCCCAGTCCCCAGTCCCTTGAATGGAGCTCAAAATTATTTGTGAGTGAATAAATAAATGACATCAATGATCTTACCTGATATTTAGGACACTGGTCTTTTACATCAGAAGATGAAGTTACAGAACTATCCAAAGAGGAAGAACTGTCTCCTCCAGGTTTTAGCTGGCAGCATTTCCCAAAGACTTTAACTTGAGCATCACTACAAAGTTTCTGAAATACAGATAATATTCCCATTTACATTTTAACAGAATTTTCACGTTATACAAATTTAATCATAGTATGAAAACCTTTGGAAAAACCAATGATGAAATAATACAAAATAATACAGCTTTATTATAACTATTTGCATTTTGCTTTATTTTCTCCAGTACTATTTTCTATTCCTTTTCTAATAACTATAATATTTGTAGAGTTCATATTATGTTTTTATTACCAACATTATGAAATCATGGAAATTTTTCTATATTACCATGGCCTACACAATGTTCATTAACAGTGAGTTAATAATATACTGCAGCATTTTTCAGATTATCTAGTTTCAAAACCCCTTTATGAGGCCAGGCATGGTGGCTCACTCCTATAATCCTAGCACTTTGGGAGGCTGAGGTGGGAGAATTGTATGTGCCCAGGAATTTGAGACTAGCTTGGGCAACACAGCAAGACTTCATCTCTATAAAAATAAAATAAAAAATTAGCCAAGCATGGCAGCATGCTCCTGTAGTCCCTGCTACTCCAGAGGCTGAGGCAGAAGAATCACGTGAGCCCTAGGAGTATGAGGCTGTGGTGAGCTGTGATCATGCCACTGCATTCCAGTCTGGGTGACAGAGTGAAATACTGACTCAAAACACAAACAAAATCTTTATGCTCTTAAACATTATTGAGGATTCTAAGAGCCTTGTCTTTGTGTGAGTTATATCTGTCAATATTTTCCCATATTGGAAATAAAAACTGAGGAAGTTTTAATATGTACTAATTAATTTAAATATAACAAACTCATTACAAGTTAACATAAATAATATTGTTATGAAAAATTAACTTTTTCTGAAGAGAAATGTAGGATGAGAGAAATGCAAATGAGACTTTCTATTTCAGTATATATGTTTAGCCTTTTGAAATGAGAATGTATTCATATAATGACTAGTTGTGAATTTTTAGTAAGAGATGAGCTTAGGACCAGAAGATTGTGCATCCTAGTATAGGAGAAGAATGCATTTCTTTTTCTTTAATCCTTTCTCTCCTCCTCTGTCCCAATTGTTCTTCTATAGCTTTCATTGCTCACAGTTACAATCCAGCAAGGACTGTGATAGTCCTAAAAATATTCCAGTGCTTTATCAGAATTTCAGTATGTCCATTCCTCTATATAACAGAACTCAGGTTATATATTTATACACACACACACACACACACACACACACACACATACATATATTGTTTAGAAGAAACAATCTAACTAAAATAACTTTTTTTTTTTTTTTAGTACGAATCTTACTCTGCCACCCAGGCTGGAGTGCAGTGGCACACTCACGGCCACTGCATTCTTGGCCTTCTTTGCTCAGGCGATCCTTCCGCTTCAGCCTTCTCCTCTCACCAAGTTGTCCATGCTGATCTTAAACCCCTGAGGGCTCATGCAATCCTCTTGCCTCTGTCTCCCAAAGTGCTGGGATTACAGGTGTGAGCCACCATGTACAGCAAATAATGTTTTGAAAACAAATTGTTTTACAGCTGCCACCATCACCAAAGACATTGCAAAAGGGGACATTTAGTAATCTCCAAATCATTTCTAGTCAAAAATTTAAAGTAAAAGAATAAAGGTTTTAGAACTTAGACATGAGTTCAAAACTTGGATTCTTGAGCAAGTTACCTAACCTCTCTAAACCTTAAAGTACTATTTATTTAATGGGAAGAAAAACCCTACCTAATGACACGGGAATATATATAATCATAATACATAATATTATATAATAATTATAATATTCCAGAGAACTAGCATATATTTATTGATTTGTAGTCATAATTATTATTTTAAAAAGTGAAGTAGAAGGCTAACATAATTGAAGCTAGAAACTTTACTAGATATTTCCATGTATACTTCTATAACACTTGCTAAAAATACTGGTATTTGTAGTATTGGTATCCCTGGCTACCTCTCAATAACTTTACTAGTTACTGATCACCAACAAAATGCTACACAAGGTATGATATTCTCTAATGCTAAGTGTAGCAGATACTATTAATCCTATTTTACAAATGAGAAACTTGAAGCCCAAAGGGGTTAGTTAAGTAACTTCACCAAGAGCTAGTAAGTCTGTTTTCTACTTACAGACAAACTCAGTTGGCTTGACTTATCCACTATTACAAACCACTGTTTTATCAGTCAACAAAAGTATTTAAGTACTAAGTTTAACAAGCACTAGGGAATATAGGCAGATAAAAAGACACAGTCCATTTCCTTCTGAAACTAATAATCTAAAACAGGAAAGAGACACTTAACAAATAATTACACAAATATGTGTGATGAAATATGCATTTCAAATGTTTAACAAAAGTAATGATGACAGCTACAGCTAACTCATATCAGTATTTAGTAATTTATAAGTATGAATGTATGCAAAACAGAACAGTCTACCATTATTATTCCCATTTACTGATGAAGAGGTTAAAGAACAATGATGTTTAAGTGAACTGCCCCAAGAGGACTTAATTTAGTCTCAAGAGACCAAGGAGGTGACATTAAAAAAAAAAAGAGATTAGAAAATATAGTTCACTTATATAGTAAATTAGAAAGAAAGAGAGGAAAAAAAAGAGAAGATTTACCTCCCCAAGGTAGGGGAGGAGACCAAAGCTTAAGAAAACATGGCCTGGCCATGGCTCAAAGAGCACATGGCCATACCATAGCTTAGCAAGATAATGGCAAAATGGCTGCTTGTAGTTGAGTACTTTTAAACATTTTCCTTGAATGGGGGCAGGTGGTTAAGGTGGTTGGGTGGTGGTCCGCTCCACATCCTCATGAAAGGGCAGGTAAGCACAGGTACTGGACAGCCAGCAGATGGGTGGGTTAGTCACATGATTGCTGCCATGGTGGTAGGCTAGATGGAAGCAGACAAGGCGAAGGGGTTTTCCTGCAAGTCTCTTGCAGGAAGTGACATTTTAAGCTTGGACTACAAAAAAAGAAGAGGAATTAAAGTGAAAGAGGAAGAGTGAGAGGGCCAGAAAGAAATTCCAGAATGAGGGAACTACGCATGTCAGATCTAAATCAAAAGGCAGTTTGCCAGAGGAAGGAAAGGGATGAACATATTTCAGTTCCAGGACTAAAGCATAAAAACAAGCATAAAAGTGTACACAAAAATATACACATACACACACATTTTTCTCCCACCAACCCTCTAGCTGCTCCATTTCTTTTCTCCCTCCCATCCTGTAATCAAGGATTATCTGAAACCAAACAGCAACAACTATAGTGACAGATGGTCCTTTAGGGAGAGGAGAGGGCACAGCCAGCAACTCTCAGGTAAGCAAAGGCCTTCTATGAGCAGAAACTGTAGGGGAAAAGGGCTCGGTTTTCCTCTCTTACTATTTTACTTTCATCCCTAAGAGAAGTGATACCATATTGTATGTCTAACTTACAAAAACAAACACCACCTTCTACTTATGCATAAGAAATGCCATAAATGTTACTTAAAAATACACCAGCTTTTTACAACTAGATTTTCGTTAACTTTTTATATTTTCAAACAATCACAAACAAGTTACAAGTTCAAAAACTTATTTTTCCTGACCAAATGAGTAAGTTGCCTACTTGATATTCCAATTCTGAATACTTAATATATATTTCCTACAAACAAGGACATTCTTCTACATAGCTACGATACAGACAAAAATTCAGGAAATCATGATTGGTACATTATATGCATCTAATCCTCAGACTCCACTAAAACTTAACCAGTTGTCCAAATAACATCCTATAGAGTAAAAGGATGCAGTTGAAAATCTTGCATCACATTTAGTTGCTTTATCTCTTTCGTCTCCTTTAGTGTGGAAAAGTTTCTCTGCTGCTCTTCAATTTTATTTTTATTTTTATTTATTTTTGAGTTGGAGTCTCACTCTGTCGCCCAGACTGGAGTGCTGTGGTTGCTCCCGGCCACTGCAGCCTCGACCTGCTGGGCTCCGGCGATCCTTCCGCCTCAGCCTTCCAAGTAGCTGGAACTACAGGCACGTGCTACATCGCCCAGTTAATTTTTTGATTTATTGTAGAGATGAGGTCTCGCCAAGTTGCCCAGGTGGGTCTCGAACCCGCGGGCTCAGGCAATTCACTCACCTCAGCCTCCCAAAGCACAGGATTACAGGCCACCGAGCCCGGTGCTCTTCAATCTTAAAGACCTAGATACTTTTGAAGATTACAAAAAAGTTATTTTGCAAAATGAATTTGTTTGATGTTTCCTTTTAAGATTCATGTATGGGCCATGTACAGTGGCTCAAGCCTGCAATCCCACACTTTGGGAGGCCGAGGCAAGAGGACTGACTGAGCCCGCGGGTTCAAGACCAGCCTGGGCAATATGGCGAGACCACAACAAATCAAAAAATTAGTCAGGCATGATAGGAAGTGCCTGTAGTTCCAGCTACTTGGAAGGCTGAGGCAGAAGGATCGCTGGAGCCCAGCAGGTCGACTCTGGGTGGCCACGAGCATGTCACTGTCACTGCACTCCAGCCTGGGTGACAGAGTGAGACTTCAACTCAAAAAAAAAAAAAAAAAAAAGATTCAAGTTGAATCTTGGGGTATAAAATCACAGAAGAAACACAGTGTTCTTACTGAATCCTATCACATGGCATACAATTTTGATTTGTCCCATTAGTGATGATATTCTTGATATAGGTGTTGCCTACCAAGTATCACCACTGTAAATAATCTCTATCATTCTTCTAATGATAATTAGAAGTAATTAATAATTTGGTGGTATGGGGGGTGGGGGGATTTCTGAAACTATATAAATATGCTGTTCCTCGTTAAACTTTCTATTTATTTATTTATATCACTATAGACAGACTCATCATTTCCTGTTTTATTCAACAGGTCGTATTCTGCTACTTTAATTATTTTGAGGTTTTTTCTTTTCTTTTCTTTTCTTTTGGAGACAGGGCCTCAGTCTCGCCCAGGCTGGGGTGAAGTAGGGCAATCACAGCTCAGTGAAGCCTTAACTTCCTGGGCTCAAGTT